TGCCTTTATATTTTACAGAAAATATATTCAGAATTAATAAAGAAATTAATAAATTAGAAAATAAAATTAGAATATTAAACGATTGTTTTAATAAGAAATATATTGATAAATACGAGCATAATTGGCTTTTCCATTTATTAGGAGAAATAAACCAAATTTATTCTATATTAGGAATAGAGAACCTTGACTTGACTAAAAGATAGAAGAAGGATATTTAGGTCTTTTTGTCAGGAAGTGTAATCCAGAGTGTAAGTCAGCAAGTACGAATAGCAAGGTCCATTTGAAAAATGAGTATGGTGTACATTCAGTTTGACGGTCATCTCACAAAAACGTGTGGTCCGCAATTTTAATTAGAATCAACTCTGTTTTTGTGAAAGAAATTTGAAAATGTTGAGTCTACGCTTTGGTGTACATTCAGTTTGATGACCCTTTCACAAAGACGTGTGGTCCGCAATTTTTAAAATTGCAGACTTCGCTCCTTCATTAGAGGGCTGTCGCCAAATGGTGTACATCTTTTGCTCAAGAAATTTCCTTTCCCAAGGTAATTTTAGAAAAAAAAAAAAAAAGGAATTCATACTTTCATTTTTGTTGTCTTGATTTCTTAATTTCAAAAGGTGTTTTGCTTTCATGAATTTGGTCTAATTTAGTGCATGTTTGAGCTCCATTGTTTTGCTAAAATTGCATTTTGAAATAGTAGATTAATCGAAAATGTGTGGTTAAAAAATATTTGGATTTACTTGTAATATTAGGGTTCGTTTGATTGCAATAGTGGAAAATAGGTGGAAAGAAAATGTTTTAAAAGGAAAGATTTTCCTAGAAATTGTTTTACTGGGAGGTGTAATTAATTGTGTTTGATTAGTATAATTTTTCATGAAAAATGTTGAAAATCTGGTGTCTGTTTGACTTCGTTTTTTATGGATATTGTTACCATTGGGTCTAAAATTTGTTCCAATTGCAAAAAAAAAAAGTATCATACCGAATAACATTCGTTTGACTTTATTTTGTATGAAAATTGTCTATTAAAAGAAAATTTCTTTTTACCATTGTTGATAGAAATTATTCCAATTGAAAAAAAAAATGTGGAAAACCATTTTCCACCAAAGTGGTGGGAAAACAAATTCCATGAAAACCAAGAAAAGGGGGGTTGGGGGGGAAACAATTTCCAAAGAAAATTTGCATATCAAACAAGGCAAAAGATAGAAAATGGAAAATTATAGATATCAAACGGACCCTTATTTTAATGAAAAATGTGTGATTAAAAAGAAAGAAAAAAAATTGTATTTTCAAAATAATGGGGATCAAATAAGAGCTTAACTAATAATTTTTGGGTCAATTGAATCTAAGGTTCCGAATGTTTGGTTATATGGGGTTCCAAACTTTACAAAAATTTACGCTTAAGGCCCTTTTGTGACGAAAATAGTAAGTTTGACCCTCAAAATGTTAAATTTTGAGCAAAATAATCATTTTACACTTAATGTGATTTATTCAAATAAATAAATTTCACTTTGAGTTCCGTTTCTTTAAAGGTTGTGACAATGGGTCATGAACCTTTGGTTTCTACTCCTCGAGTTCGTAACCTATAAAACGTTTGCGACTGACGTCATTTTGTGATAGAATTCATCATTTTTACCATTATATTGTCAATATACTGAGTAGAATGACCATCCTGTCATAAATTTAATAACAAAGAGAACACAAAAAACGATATGTAATTTCTCCTCCACCCATCACCAACAATGAAATCTATGCACACCCATCGTTGGTCATGTCTCTCCCAATCAATTTTTTTTTTTTTTTTAACCATTGTTGATAGAAATTATTCCAATTGTCAAAAAAAAAAAAAATGTGGAAAACCATTTTCCCACCAAAGTGGTGGGAAAACAAATTCCATGAAAATCAAGAAAAGGGTGGTTGGGGGGAAAACAATTTCCAAGGAAAATTTGCATATCAAACAAGGCAAAAGATAGAAAATGGAAAATTATAGATATCAAACGGACCCTTATTTTAATGAAGAATGGGTGATTAAAAAGAAAGAAAAAAATTGTATTTTCAAAATAATGGGGATTAAATAAGAGCTTAACTAATAATTTTTGGGTCAATTGAATATAAGGTTCCGAATGTTTGGTTATATGGGGTTCCAAACTTTACAAAAATTTACGCTTAAGGCCCTTTTGTGAGGAAAATAGTAAGCTTGACCCTCAAAATGTTAAATTTTGAGTAAAATAATAATTTTACACTTAAATGTGATTTATTCAAATAAATAAATTTCACTTTGAGTTCCGTATCTTTAAAGGTTGTGACAATGGGTCATGAACCTTTGGTTTCTACCCCTCGAGTTCGTAACCTATAAAACGTTTGCGACTGACGTCATTTTGTGATAGAATTCATCATTTTTACCATTATATTGTCAATATATTGAGTAGAATGACCATCCTGTCATAAATTTAATAACAAAGAGAACACAAAAAACGATATGTAATTTCTC